AATATATCAACCTTTAGTCAAAATATCAAATGGCCTGAACGACAAGTCAAAATGGGTTACAAATGGCTTGGCACGGAACGTGTTAAGCATCCTTCGACACTATGTCTCGCCGATTCTTACACAATCGGGGCTATCTCACTCCAAGTTACAAAGTGAAACAATACAAAACTGATATTTGTATCTGGACGCTTAAATGGGTACCTTGGTAATTACTGTACCTTGAAAATAAAAAAAAAAAAAAAAATACAACTTCTTACTTTCCAGCTCGCATCGCTTGTTGAGCGAGACGCGCCTGCATAGTGACGACCATATCCCGTGGTACGCGCCACACGAATATGCAGCCGTCCCCGCTGGCGGACACGAGGTTGCGACAGTCGGGGCTGAAACGCAGCCCTGTCACCAATTCCGAGTGGCCGAGCATCGTGGCCATACATTCACCGCTGTAGTAATCGTACACGCACAACGTCTTATCCGTGCAGGAGGTAGCTACGTAGATTCCCGATGCGTCTGAAACGGGAGAACGTATTTTACGGAGCGGAAGACAATTAGATCTGACCTGTCGATCGTTCCTTCAACGAAGAAAACTTGATTGGAAAAATGAAAGCACAAGGAACAAAAGTTCATTTATGCGTGGATCCATAAAATTTTTATATGAGATTAGAAACAAGCGCAAGCGTTTGGTCTTACCTAGAACGACTTTGATGAGCGATCCGTCTTCCCCGACGGATCCCTTGAACGTTTTGCTGTGTTTACCCGTGGCTACGTTGTAAACCCTTATGTTCCTATCCTGACAGGCAGTCAACACGTGCTTCTGTCCGGAATCGACCTCCATGTCGTACAAAGTGGTCTTTCCCTGAGCGTTGTGACCCCTGGCGAATTGCGGCATGCCCCCGGGCGTCTGAAAAAATGACAATGACAACGTTGACGGAGGACAAATGGCGGCTACCTGCGTGAAGATAACTCACCGATTGCAACTGTCTAAAAATAATACTTTTATCGGCTCCGCAAGAGACCATTTGTATCTGACTGCTCTGATTGCTCTGATTGAAGAACCTAACGGCAGTAATGGAAGAGCTATGATCGTCCAGCGTTTGCAGAAAGTTGTATCCCTGATCGACGCTGAACACGTGGATCAGCCTGTCCCTGGACGCACTGGCCAGTAGCCTAGGCGGCTCGGTCGAGTACCGGGAGAACTTGGAGTACTCGAGGCAAAGCACCTCCGCGTCGTGCGCCTCGATCAAGCACAACTCCTCCAACGAGGAGAGATCGTGGATTCGAATGTTGCCGGAACGGTCGCCGGACGCCAGGTGTTTCCCGTCCGGGCTCACTCGGATCGATCTGACCCCGTTTCGCCCGTCGTACGAAGCGTCACTCTTCTCGGTCGAGCCGGCGGCGGCCAGATCCACGTCCTTCAGGTACGTCAGCTCCGGATCTATGTAGAGGACCTTGAGCAGCTCGTTGCTGTAGATGTTTCGCTTGTAGGGCGTGTCGTTCGGCGTGATGTCTTTCTCCAGGTTCCACACGCGGATCGTGTCGTCGCTGGAGCAGGTGATGAAACTGCCGGCTGGCATGCTGCCCATGGAGTCCGACCCCGTGGGGTACATGTCCACGCCCCAGATGCACGCCGAGTGATAGAGGAACGAGTGCGATTTGCCCACCCGCCTGATGTCTCGCACGTCCCACACGTAGATACTGTGATCGTTGTAAACGCAGGTGAGCTTGTTGTTTCGCTCGTCGAACGCCAGAGCAATCGCGTCCGGGTACCTCGCGTTCGCTGGATGCTGAGACATGTGGCTGCAATCGATGAACGATAAACGGGATTTTAGTTCGACTCGAGTTGGAAATAACACAGCGTTTAACAGTGTCCTACCTAATGGACAATCCCTGGGCAACGTCCACGCCTAGGTAATGCGTTCTGGGCAACGTGGTGATAAATTGAAGCGTGCTGGGACTGAAGCATCTGACGATCCCCTCCGCGCAGCCGATAAAGATGTATTTGTCCCCCACGGCCATGCAATTGGCACTGGTAGTCTGGAAAGAGCCATTCAACAAAATCAACATTTATATAATATGAAATTCTACAGGGTCTTATAGTCACATAAAAAAATTTTGATTAAAATTTTTATTAAAATTTCAAATCCATAAAATATATACGAGACAGAATACATTTCATTAATCCTTTCATCCCAGATTTCATTTAAAAATCAATTGATTATGCTTTGTACAGTCAATTATATTGCAGCCATTTAAATTTCATTAGGTAGACTTAAAATTACTATCGATAAGACACGTCTTTGATAAACAGGTGAATACATTTAATTTGCCCATATATATATTATTTTATATTTAATATATATATTATACAAATATTTATTTTTTTTATTACTAATTTAATCATTACAATTAATTTTATTTACTTGATTCACATATACTTGATTTTGGTTGTTCAGAAAAATTAATATAAGTAAACAAATGAAAATGTCAATCAACGCTAAAACGACCGTGTCATATGAATATAAATTTCTGTCGTGATAAATGTAAATCGTTTAAATGATAATTAAAAATAAATAGATTTGTACAATTACGTTCCCGTTCAAACAGAAATTAATAATCTAATAATATCCGTATCTTTCAAGTATAATAGTTCAAACTGTCAACAAAAGTCTGAAATCAGTTATATCGACAAGTTCGATCGTTACACTAATAAATTAAAATTGTACAATTATTTATAAGACAGTTCTAACATTAAATAACGTTTCTTGCACGCTATTGTCATTCCAAATACTTTATTAGGAAAATGTTAATACCTACGGTAATACTTTACCGACCGGTAACGGTTGATAAGTAGCCGATTAATAGGCTACCAGTCGGTAAAGTGTTAATAAACGAGGCAGCGCTTCGCCTCGGTGAGAATACACCGAGACACTGATCGCGTGTAATAAAACTTCGAAATACTCGGCTACTTACTCGAAGCTCCACCCATTTGTCCAAGAGTCTCCTGTTATTAAATTCGCATAAAAGGCCCGTTTTGGTGATCGCGTACGTGGAATCGGCCATTTCGCCTCGGCCGCAGGCTACGTCCACGAAATCGTTGTTCCTCTGCTCTCCTAATATGGCGGATCGACCCATCAAAGGCACAGGTTCCTTGTACTGTTCAACAAAGTTCCTACTATTACCACCTTTATGTTGTTACCTCTTTCCCGCCTTTGGTACACAATCAGTCGGTATCAATATTTTCTCAAACTTTCTTTTCAATTACGAGCTGTTGGTTTTCGTCGCTCGACGTACGGGAGGAAAGAGATACGAATACGTATGAGTTTGTATGCATTGCAAAAGATCGTGCCTGATTTTTGAATGAAAAATAACCTGAATTATTAATAGTCGAAATTATTAATTTAGGTTATGAAACTCTTTTGTTAATCGGAAATGTAATTTCCATTATTATCAGCAGTATCTTCGGCTAACGTTCTAAAATCATAGAAACACCTTGATTTTTTTTTTTTTTTAAGAAATGTGGTTTTTAACGGCTTCCGACGAAAATCGAATTTTTTCCCATTCAAATCATTCTCTAACAATCGAAACAAGTGATAGTCGGATGAAGCAAGTACGGGGGATGCAAAAGAACTTCTCACTTTAGCTGATTTAATTTCTGCAAAGTCTGTTTTACCATGTGAGGTGGTTCTGCATTATCCTGATGAAGCAAGACGCCCTTCTGAATTACCAAAATTGTGTTTCTCTTGAATTGTCTCTAATGTCTCAACTACTGAGCGCCATATTCATATTCTGTACGAATTCTTTATTTGAATTTATTCATTCTTTCAAAACTTTAATTTATTTATAGTTTATTGTAACGCAATTACGTAGTAATTACATAATAATAATTTATATAGTAAAAGCATATATAAATTTTATTATTATATTTTTTTGCGGTTTTGTGTCGGATCTTGCCTTATATATATTGGCTATAGCTTGGCGAAAAATTAAATTTTCCGAATGTTGACAGTACTTGTTGGAATTAATTCATAATGAATCACTTAATTTTCTTGAAATGTTGGATTAGCTTTCGGTGTTTGCGTATATATCTATTCCTCGTCCTCCAGTGTACTAATCGATGCAAAAAAGGCTCGTTGTTTAAACGACCGAGCCGAAAGAAAGGGAGTTGCGGAGGATCTGCTCATTTTGTCCACCTCGGAGAACAAATGTGACAACCATACATTAAGCTTTAAAGTGCATCCATTTGCTTTTAAGAGGCGAAACACGATCGAATCGTCAATATTTGCAGTCTGAGCAATCTCTTTGATGGAAATTCGCGAGTTATTTTAGCAACGTCGTCATCCATCTTAGATGGTCAGCTAGAGACAAAAAAATCTTGCAAAATCATTTTTTCAACGACTCGCTTATCTCTTTACGAAACACAACATATTTTCGTAGATACATTCTTTCAAACGTTTCGTTCTTCCAGAAATTCCAATTAAAACAGCAAAATTCTTTTACCATATATATTTTTTTAAATTTCATATTTTCTGGCGGTCAACATATTTGAAAGAATAGTTTTCAAAACACGACGACAAAAATCACGTCACGAACTTAAATTTAATTTAATCAATAATTAATAAAATTAGTTTGTTCCTTTAATATTTTGTTATGGCGTTTCATTAAAAAAAAAAAAAAAAAAAAAAAAAATAGGTGGGAAGAAATTTTTGGCCCACCCTATACATAACGGAATGTGAAACTTTTCCACCGTTGTGGAAAATAACGAACACACGGTGGACGGCATACAACTCTTTCAAAACGACGTCGAACGTCGAAAAAAAATCGTATCGGCGTCGACTTACCTTGGCGCTGCGCGAATACTCGAGATACCAAAACTTGACGTGCCTGTTGCCGACGGTGACGAAGTAGTTGCCGTTCTCCGCGAAACAGACAGCCTTCACCTTGCTCGAGACTTTGTTCGACGCTACTTTAACGTTGTTCCTCCAGTCCCAGACGTTGACGATCATGTCGTGCTGAGAGCCCACGGACACCACGTACTTGTTGCTCGGCGAAAATGCCTTGAGAACGAAAACACAGCGTGTAACACAGGAATTTTCTTAGCCAAGGATCATTGCACTCGAGGTATCGAAGAAATGCGACAATAAAAAGGGGGAGAGAGAAAAAGGGTACCGTTGCTCGTCCGCTGAGGACATTTCGTATTCACGCACATTTTCCAACGTTCTCGTCGAGCCTGCATGTTTGCACGTCCCGATTGCTCGACGATTCCCGCGGAATATCGATGGGGTAGCACGTTTTCCGCGGAAAGAGAGATAATACTCACCACGCAGTTGATGCCATACTTGTGGCCGGAAAATTCGGCGAACTGCACGGCGTTGTACGGGTCGGAGATGTCCCAGACGCGAACGTTCGGCATGTGACCGCACTCTCCGGTCGCCAAATATCTTCCATCGCCGGCGAGGGCCAGCGAGGTCACCGTTTTCCGGCAAGCGTTCAACACGTGAGCCTGGGTGTTCTTCCGTGGATTGAACAAAACCACGGTGCAACTGAAGCCAAGAAAACAATTACTATATTATTATACGTATAAAATATAATTTATACAAAGTTTTATTTAAATTCATTCTGCATAAATAAAGTATGTCGACGTTTTTTAAGCGATTTTTGCCTTTTGTTGTCGTTCAGGCCATTTGATATTTTCACTAAA